ATCAATTACGCGGTAAAAATATCAACTGGGATGGACCAAGTCATAATCCCCAATAGTAAATGATCCCGCGCTCGTCATACAACACGTGTCTCATCTCAACATAGCAGTATGTTGTGCAATTCGGGGTTTCAAACCCTCAGTGCATCATTTAAAATCATTACTCACCTCAAGACGGTCCAACGTCTACTCCGCTATGCCCGTGCCTCTCGAATTTACCTCTTCGCGCGTCGAATCTGGTCAAAACCACAATGAATACATTATAATAGGCTAAGGGAATATAACCAAATCGAAAAGACTCGAAAAATATCGAAAATCGCGAAATTTGCAAAACCCGAGCCCCGGACCCACTTCTCGAAAAATTACGAAATTCATATCACCGGATTCCTCGTCTCGCCACAAGTCCGTACATATCAAATTTACCAAAATCGAAGTTCAAATGACCCCTTAAATCTCCATTTAATTCTCTTAAGTTTCAAGCCCTAAACCACCATTTTTGTCCATAAATTACTTGAGTTTTCAGCTCTAATCCATGTATTTAACTTGGAAATAAGTAGAAACAACTCACCTTTGATGCTTGATGAAATCCCCCTTGAAATTCTCTCCAAAATAATCCAAGCCAAATGAAAGAAATGAAAGAAATAAGCCAAATCCGTGTTTAAAAAAATCTGCCCGTGCTTCGTCGAGTTGTACCTTGCACTTGTGCGATACAAGTTGTACATCCTATTAAAATTTTCCCTTGTCGGACACCTTCTGCTTAAACACCCATAACGTCTTGTATAAATATCCAAATGATAAATGGTTTGAAGATTTAAAAACTATACTCGTAGATCTTTAATTTGATAGGTTGTACACTATATAACTCTTTATATATCCCGAGATATGAGCTTCTAAAGCGAATCCGTAAATTCTGTCGAAATCGCTCTACCAGCCATATTCAATCCATCATAACTTTCTGAGATAATATCCAAATCACGAATGGTTTAACTTTCTGAAAACTAGAATGTAAGGGATACAACTGTCATGTTTTGCAATTGTTCTTATTTCTTAAAGATTACAAGATATGAGCTTCCAAACTGGACACCTCGCGCCTGAAATTTTCTGGGCACAACAGAAGTCTAAAAATTTCTGCAATTTTTTTCAAAGATGAAATAGTCCGTTTAACCACCCAAAACTCACCCGAGGCCAGTGGGACCTCAACCAATCATGCCAACATATCCCATAACATCGTTCAAACTTGTTCCAACCTTCGTAACGCTCAAAACAATATCACAACACCAAATTCGTATCGGATTCAAACCTATGAACTTTGAAACTTCTAACTTCCACATCCGATGCCGAAACACGTCAAAACTAGTCTGAATGACCTCAAATTTTGCAGACAAGTCCAAAATGACATAATGAAGCTACAGCAATTCTCGGAATTCTATTCCGACTGTCGGATCAAAATTTCACCTATCAACCGGAAATCACCAAAATACTAACTTCACCAAAATGAGCTAATTTCTTCACTGGACCTCCAAAATTAATTTTGATTGCGCTCCTAGGCCTTAAATCATCCCTCGAAACTAACCGAATAATCGGAATTTAATTCTGAGCCCTCTAACTCACAAGTCAACGTCCGATTAATTTTTCCAAACTAATTCTTCCTTAAAGAGACTAATTGTCCCATTTCATACCAAACTCGATCCGAATTGACTCAAATTCACCAAGTACACATATTGAAACATGAATAAGCATTTAACGGGGAATACAGGATGAAAATACAGGAAACGACGGTTCGGGTCATTACAGTGATCCCAGGGTTCATCTGAGGACCTATTGTGACAAGCTTGTCGGGCTCGGGAAAGATGAAAAGATACTGATAAAACTCTTTATGAGGAGTCTTACTGGAGATGCTTTGTCCTGGTACATTAACGAAGATCCTAAGAAATGGTCTAACAGGGTGAGTATGGCATCGAATTTCATGGATCGATTCAGTTTCAATACAGAAACGCACCAGATGTTTTCTACATCCAGAACCTTAAGAAGAAGCCCAGTGAGACTTTTCGCGAGTACGCTACTTGTTGGAGGTCAGAAGCGGCCAAAGTCAGGCCATATTTGGATGAGGAACAGATGAACAAGTTCTTTGTCAGAGCACAAGATCCGTAGTATTACGAAAGATTGATGGTTATTGAAAACCATAAATTCTCTAATATAATCAAACTCGGGGAAAGAATCGAGGAAGGCATCAAAAGTAGGATGGTAATGAATTTTGAGGCATTACAGGCCACAAACAAGATATTACAATCAGACGGCATATCAAAGAAAAGAGACGTTGGGGCAGTAATGGTGGCTCAAGGCCCGAAATCTCCACTTACATATCAAACACCTCTACCCACATATCAAATACCCCCACCCACATATCAAACACCTCCACCCACATATCAAGCACCACCACCCACATATCAACCTTCATCTCCTAGGTATTCCTAACCAGCCACTGCCTATCATACATATAATTCCCAACCACCTCATTTCCAGTCACCCCCAACTCGCCAAAACTATCCAAGACCACAACTCAATTTTGACCGTAAACCACCTAGATAGTACACGACTATTGCTGAACCCATCGACCAACTGTATGAAAGGTTGAAAGTCGCAGGCTACGTCACCCCTATTCCTGCTGTGGCATTAGAGAACCCATCCCAATGGGTTAACCCAAACAAAACCTATACATACCATTACAGTATGAAAGGGCACACCATTGATGAATGTCGAACATTGAAAGATAAGATCCTGACGCTGATTGACAACAAGGTCATACAGGCGAAGGAAACCACTCCCAATGTCCGCAACAACCCTCTCCCAGATCATAGAGGTGGTGGGGTGCATGAGATAGAGACGAACGAAGAGTGGGATCTTGAGGGGTCAATCAGGCTTATTCGAGAAGGAGATGACTTTAAACATACATTCAAACTCACTCCCATTGTAGCATAGACTTAATCACCGATCAAAGTTTAGATAACTGCATCCGTTCCCTTTGAGGTAGAGGTAGCCCTGCCTGTGGCCACTCTTGTTCCATTTGAAGTGGAAGTGTTACGTCTCGTACTTTAACGTTAGGATTCTTCAAAGTAATAACATATGAGTTGGAAGGGATTAAGGTTATACATGAAGATAAGGATGTAAGACCCTGTATGTTTGAAGAATTTCAGAACTACTATATATTGGCTTGTTATGTATTTTCTTTAAAGTAAACCATTTTTGGTAAAAGTTGATAGATACGATTTTATATGGTTGTTATAAGTATAAATTAAATACATGACATGTGGGAGTGTACAAATGAAGTTTTATATATTATCAGAGTAGATAGTATTTTATCATAAGAAAAGTTATCCTTTTTTCGTTTTGAGAATTTGTAGTACAAAAACAATTTCTTTATTGTAAAGATATAAATTATTTTCTCACAAGAAAAGAAGGTTATCTTTTTACCATTTTAAAATTAGGCTTACGAAATGTTTTACTCTTTATATGAGATTAGAAAAATTAAAAGTTGAGAAAATATATGTATTTTTACATGAATATTTTAATGAAATAATAGTGTATGAATTTATCTTACATGGTACCACATGATCATAATAGTATGGTGTATAAAGTGTATTAAAAATAAATAAAATTTTATGTAATTTAAGACAATTCTTAATTATACGGGTAATTGGTAATTATCCAGAATATTTTGGAAAGAACATAACGTGGCAAATTTTTGCTTTAATATAAGTGCATGCGGACATGTGGCACATCTAAGAGTGCCCACATATAATTCCCCAAGTCGTCTCTATCCTCATTTTATCTCACTTTAATTTCAAGACCAGACCATAGGACCTCCAAAATGTTCTCTCTTGCTTTCCATCTTCAAGAACATAGGAAATTGAAGGAGTTCGTCGAACTGATTCAAGTAAAGAGTTCTTTGGTTGCACTAGTAAAGTTTCTTGTGGATCGAAGTTCATAGTGGAAGGATTGATCCCTCATAGTCAAATGGTTGACAATCGAGTTGGATAAAATGTTGATGCAGTCCCAATTGTGGCAACCACACTAGATACTATTGTTGCAGGTTCGTCAATTACAAAGCCAATCAGTTTGTGGCCAGGTATGTTAAGGCTCTCCCTTCTTTCTTTTGGCATGGTCGAAATTATACTAAAAAAATGAGCAAATACACAGTTTCCGTAAATTACTCTATTCATAGAAATAGTAGGAGTGTCTATATTCTTGATTATTAGTATCCTCTGTTCATAGGTCTCAGAATAATACGCAGTTGGAAAAGTTTATCCAGAAGGAATATTGAGATTATTATATATTTTTCATGCATTTAACTCATTTATACATGTGCATTGACCCATGACCAGATGGTGTTATATATAACTCATTTATACATGTGCATATATATGTATATGGGATATGGGAAAAGGTCATGGCGTTATATACGCACCACGATCTGATTAGCTGGTATACGATGATGATATTGCGCACAGTGGCTGAAATGATATGATGGGATGCCCTCAGAGGCTTGATGATGTTATGAAATATGTACCTATGCACAACATGACATTCACACGCATATGCATGACATTATAAATATTTCATGATTTACGGGGCTATCCAGATTTACAGGTTAAATTGACATTGAACTTATTACTCCTTGCAGAAGCTAGCTATCCGACGTTATACAATTTTTTATGCAAATTTGCTGCTTTGCCTTTAATCAATAAATGTGAATATGCCATATAAAATGTTGACGAAACTTCGAAACTGTCAATTGATAAATCAAACTACGCTTTATTCCCTAACTAGTTAATCATAAAAACTCGTAGGATGAAAAATAAAAGGGCTATTTGAACATCCCATTTGGTAAAGAGGGATTGATCCATCTGAAGGAAGTTACACAAGATATTGCCATCTCCAATTTGTAATAAAAAATTATTATCCAACTCTTAAGATCTCGTTTAGTCTTTTATTATGCGACGCAATTGAATTCCAAGTTTTATAATTATACTATTATGCCCATTGGCATTAGGGTAACTGAGCTGGACTAAATACATGTCTACAACTTTTAGATGATTATTAGGAAAACCAGTTGTGGCAAAACTTGTATGTGACCAAGTAAATACTCTTGGACTGAAAAATTAAATGACTTAGAAATAAAAAGCTCGAAATCTTTGCCAAGCTTTCTCATGATAGTTATGATGTGTTAATGTTTTGTGATTTGAGTTCCACCTTACATACTCAGTACATTATTCGTACTGACGCCCTTTTGTTAGGGACTCAGTCAGCATAGACAATCATTTTGACGGACCCTCATAGTAGACAAGATTGGTATTCAGAGAAGAATCGGCAAGACTCCACCTCATTCGGAGTGCATCCGAGTCTATGAGTCATCATGTCAGAGTTTTATTACATACTTATGGGTAGGCCGGTACCCTGCCCAATTTGATGTTAAACAATCTTAAAGGCTTTGTAGACACAGGTTTTTTTATCTACCGTATGTCAGAGGCCTTGACGGCCCATATGTATTCATGTTTTTATGAACGATAGTTCATTGATATAACATTTTCCCACCTATAATTGTACATTACGAGTTATGGCCATGTTGGCCCATGATAGTTACGAAAGGAATGAATGAGTTACAGAGTGATTCGCTCGGGCCACTACGGCACCGGGGGCCAGCCACGTCTTCCCAGGTTCGGGGCGTGACAAAGTGGTATCACAGCGGGTCGTGTCCTAGGGAGTTTACAAAATCGTGCCTTGTAGAATCTCACTTATGGGTGTGTTGCGCGCCACATTTATAATTGAGAGGCTATAGGGCATTTAGGAAATATTACCCTTCTTTTGTTTCAAGATCGTGCCATAGAGCTGAGTCGTAAGAAGCCAGTATAAAGTTTCCACCGAATTTTGTATGGACTAGAGGTGCTATCACAATAGAGCTTTAAGACGTAGATGTAATTTCTACTTACGTGGAAGGGAGGTTATGAAAGAAACAGAAGATATGATGGTAGATAGAAAACTAAGTAAGGTAAAGGTGAAAATATATGGCATACTCAAATGCAACAAGTTGTGAATAGTCCAGACTTCATATAGAGGTTGGGTTAATTTACAGAAGAGACTAGTGAAAATTTCCGTAAATCTCTAAGAGTTAACATTCAAGGACGAATGTTCTAAAGGGGGGAGGATGTTACGTCACGTACATTAATGTTAGGATTCGTCGAAGTAATAACATATGATTCGGAAGGGTAAAGGTTATACATGAAGATGGGGATGTAAGACCCTGTAAGTTTGAAGAATTTCAGAACTACTATATATTGGCTTGATATGTATTTTCTTTAAAGTAAACCATTTTCGGTAAAAGTTGATAAATACGATTTTATATGGTTGTGATAAGTATAAATTAAATACATGACATGTGGGAGTGTACAAATGAGGTTTTATTTATTATAAGAGTAGATAGTATTTTATCATAAGAAAAGTTATCCTTTTTCCGTTTTGAGAATTTGTAGTACAAAAACAATTTCTTTATTGTAAATATATTAATTATTTTCTCACAAGAAAAGAAATATACCTTTTTACCATTTTAAGAATTAAGCATACGAAATTTTTTACTCTTTATATGAGATTTGAAAAATTAAAAGTTGAGAAAATATATATATTTTTACATGGATGTTTTAATGAAATAATAGTGTATGAATTTATTTTAAATGGTACCACATGACCATAATAGTACAGTGTATAAAGTGTATAAAAAATAAGTAGAATTTTAAGTAATTTAAGATAATAATTAATTATACGAGTAATTGGTAATTATCCAAAATATTTTAGAAAGAACATAACGTGGCAAAATTTTGCCTTAATACAAGTGCATGCGGAATGTGGAACATCTAAGTGTGCCTACATATAAGTCCCCAAGTCGATTCTATCGTCATTTTATCTCACTTTAATTTCAAGAGCAGACCATAGGAGCTCCAAAACGTTCTCTCTTGCTTTCCATCTTCAAGAACATAGGAATTGAAGGAGTTCGTCGAACTGATTCAAGTGAAGAGTTCTTTGGTTGCACTAGTAAAGTTTCTTGTAGATTGAAGTTCATAGTGGAAGGATTGATCCCTCATAGTCAAATGGTTGAGAATCGAGTTGGATAAAATGTTGATGCAGTCCCAGTTGTGGCAACCGTACTAGATACCATTGATGCAGCTTCGTCAATTACAAAGCCAATCAGTTTGTGGCCAGGTATGTTAAGGTTTTCCCTTCTTTCTTTTGGTATAGTTCAAATTATACTAAAAAACGAACAAACACACAGTTTCCATAAATTACTCTATTCATAGAAATAGTAGAGGTGTCAATATTCTTGATTCCCCATGAGAATTATTACTATCCTTTGTTCGTGGGTTTCAGAATAATATGCAGTTGGAAAAGTTTATCCGGAAGGAATATTGAGATTATTACGTATTTTTCATGCATTTCACTCATTTATACATGTGCATTTGACCCATGACCAGATGGCGTTATATACGCGTATATATATATATATATATGGGATATTGGAAAAGGTTATTGCGTTATATACGCACCACCACCTGATCAGCTGGTATACGATGATGATGTTGCCCACAGTGGCTGAAATATGACGCAGACGGCGTTATATACGTATATATGTGTGTGTGTGTATATATACTAGAAAAGGTCATGGCGTTATATATGCACCACCGCCTGATCAACTTGTATACGCTGATGATATTGCTCACAGTTGCTGAAATGATATGATGGGATGCCCTCAGAGGCTTGATGATGTTATGAAATATGTACTTATGCACGACATGACATTCACACGCATATGCATGACATTATAAATATTTCATGATTTACGGAGCTATCCGGATTTACAGTTTAAATTGACATTGAACTCGTTACTCCTTGCAGAAGCTAGCTATCCGACGTTATACGATTGTTTATGAAAATTTGCTGCTTTGCCTTTAATCAATTAATGCTCTGAATATGCCATATAAAATGTTGATGAAACTTCGAAACTGTCAATTGATAAACCAAACTATGCTTTATTCCTTAACTAGTTATTCATAAAAACTCGTGAGATGAAAAATAAAAGGGCTATTTGGACATCCCATTTGGTAAAGAGGGATTGATCCATCTGAAGGAAGTTACACATGATAGTTACACATGATATTGCCATCTCCAATTTGTAACCAAAAATTATTATCTAGCTCTTAAGATCTCTTTTAGTCTTTTATTATGCGATGCAATTGAATTCCATGTTTTATAATTATTTTGTTATTCCCACTGGCATTAGGATCACTGGGCTGGATGATTATTAATAAAACATTGTGGCAAAACTTGTATATGACCAAGTAAATACTCTTGGACTGAAAAATTAAATGACTTAGAAATAAAAAGCTCCAAATCCTTGCCAAGCTTTCTCATGATCGTTATGATGTGTTCATGTTCTGTGATTTGAGTTCTGCCTTACATACTTGGTACATTATTCGTACTGACGCCCTTTTGTTGGCGTTGCATTCATGCCTGCAGGTATAGACAATCAGTTTGACGGACCCTCATAGTACACGAGATTGGCATTCAGCGAAGAATCGGTAAAACTCCACCTCATTCGGAGTACATCCGAGTCTATGAGTCATCATTTCAGAGTTTTATTACATACTTATGGTAGGGCGGTACCCTGTCCAATTTGCTTTTAAAAAATCTTAAAGGCTTTGTAGACACAGGTTTATTATGTACAATATGTCAGATGCCTTGATGGCCCAGATGTATTAACGTTTTTATGAACGATGGTTCATTGATATAACATTTTCCCACCGACAATTGTACATTACGAGTTGTGGCCATGTTGGCCCATGATAGTTATGAAAAGAATGAATGAGTTATAGAGTGATTCGCTCGGGCCACTACGGCACCGGTTGCCAGCCACGCCTCCCCAGGCTCGGGGCGTGACAAAGTGGTATCAGAGCAGGTCGTGTCCTAGGGAGTCTATAAAGCCGTGCCTGGTAGATTTTCACTTACGGGTGTGTTGCACTCCACATTTATAATTGAGGGGCTATAGGGTATTTAGGAAATGTTACCCTTCTTTTGTTTCAAGATCGTGCAATAGAGCTGAGTCGTAAGAAACTAGTTTAAAGTTTCCACCAAATTTTGTATGCACTAGAGGTGCTATCACAATAGAGCTTTAAGGCGTAGATGTAATTTCTACTTATGTGGAAGGGAGGTTATGAAAGAAACAGAAGATATGATGGGAGATAGAAAAGTAAGTAAGGTAAAGGTGAAAAAGATACGACATACTCAAGTACAACAAGTTGTGAATAGTCTAGATTTTAGATAAAGGTTGGGTTAATTTATAGAAGAGACTCTAGTGAAAAATTTCGTAAATTTCTAAGAGTTAACATTGACGAATGTTCTAAAGGGGGGAGGATGTTACGTCCCGTACTTTAACATTAGGATTCGTCGAAGTAATAACATATGAGTTGGAAAGGATTAAGGTTATACATGAAGATAGGGATGTAAGACCCTATAAGTTTGAAGAATTTCAGAACTATTATATATTGGCTTGATATGTATTTTCTTTAAAGTAAACCATTTTCTGTAAAAGTTGATAGATACGATTTTATATGGTTGTGATAAGTATAAATTAAATACATGACATGTGGGAGTTTACAAATGAGGTTTTATTTATTATAAGAGTAGATAGTATTTTATCATAAGAAAAGTTATCCTGTTTTCCGTTTTGAGAATTTGTAGTACAACAAGAATTTATTTATTGTAAAGATATAAATTATTTTCTCACAAGAAAAGAAGGTTATCTTTTTACCATTTTAAGAATTAAGCTTACAAAATATTTTATTCTTTATATGAGATTAGAAAAATTAAAAGTTGAGAATATATATATATATATATACATATATTTACATGGATGTTTTAATGAAATAATAGTGTTTGAAATTATTTTACATGGTACCACATGACCATAATAGTACAGTATATAAAGTGTATTAAGAATAAGTAGAATTTTAAGTAATTTAAAATATTTCTTAATTATACGAGTAATTAGTAATTACCAAAATATTTTGGAAAGAACATAACGTGGCAAATTTTTGCCTTAATACAAATGCATGCTGACATGTGACACATCTAAGAGTGCACACATATAAGTCCCCAAGTCGGTTCTATCCTCATTTTATCTCACTTTAATTTCAAAAGCATACCATAGGAGCTCCAAAACGTTCTCTCTTGCTTTCCATCTTCAAGAACATAGGAAATTGAAGGAGTTCGTCGAACTGATTCAAGTGAAGAGTTCTTTGGTTGCACTAGTAAAGTTTCTTGTAGATTGAAGTTCATAGTGGAAGGATTGATCCCTCATAGTCAAATGGATGAGAATCGAGTTGGATAAAATGTTGATGCAGTCCCAGTTGTGGAAACCACGCTAGATACCATTGATGCAGGTTCGTCAATTACAAAGCCAATCAGTTTGTGGTCAGGTATGTTAAGACCCACCCTTATTTCTTTTGGCATGATCCAAATTATACTGAAGAAACGAGCAAACACACATTTTCATAAATTACTCTATTCATAGAAATAATAGATGTGTCTATATTCTTGATTCCCCATGAGAATTATTATTATCCTCTGTGCATGGGTATCAGAATAATACGCAGTTGGAAAAATTTATCCGAAAGAAATATTGAGATTATTACGTATTTTCATGCATTTCACTCATTTATACATGTGCATTGACCCATGACCAGATAGCATTTATACGCGTATATATGTGTATCTATATATATATATGGGATATGGAAAACGGTTACGGCGTTATATACGCGCCACCACCTGATCAGCTGGTATACGATAATGATGTTGCCCACAATGGCTGAAATATGACTTAGACGACGTTATATACGCGTATATATGTCTATATATATGTATATGGGATATGGAAAAAGGTCATGGTGTTATATACGCACCACCACCTGATCGTGGCTGAAATGATATGATGGGATGCCCTTAGAGGCTTGATGATATTATGAAATATGTACCTATGCACGACATGGCATTCACACGTATATGCATGACATTATAAATATTTCATGATTTACAGAGCTATCCAAATTTACAGTTTAAATTGACATTGAACTCGTTACTCCTTGTAGAAGCTAGCTATCCGATGTTATACAATTGTTTATGCAAATTTGCTGCTTTGCCTTTAATCAATTAATGCTCTAAGTATGCCATATAAAATGTTGACGAAACTTTGAAAGTGCCAATTGATAAACCAAACTACGCTTCAGTCTCTAACTAGTTATTCATAAAAACTCGTAAGATGAAAAATAAAAGGGCTATTTGGACATCCCTTTTGGTAAAGAGGGATTGATCCATCTGAAGGAAGTTACACAAGATATTGCCATCTCCAATTTGTAACAAAAAATTATTATCTAGCTCTTAAGATCTCTTTTAGTCTTTTATTATACGATGCAATTAAATTCCAAGTTTTATAATTATTCTATTATGCCCATTGCCATTAGGATCACTGAGCTGGACTAAATACATATCTACAACTTTTAGATTCTTATTAGGAAAACCAGTTGTGGCAAAACAAGTATGTGACCAAGTAAATACTCTTGTACTAACAAATTAAATGACTTAGAAATAAAAAACTCGAAATCCTAGCCAAGCTTTCTCATGATCGTTTTGATGTGTTCAAGTTCTGTAATTTGAGTTCCGCCTTACATACTTGGTACATTATTCATACTGACGCCCTTTTTCTGGGGACACTGCATTCATGCCTGCAGGTATAGACAATCAGTTTGATGGACCCTTGAAGTAGACGAGATTGACATTCAGCGAAGAATCGGTAAGACTCCAACTCATTCGGTGTGCATCCGAGTCTATGAGTCATCATGTCAGAGTTTTATTATATACTTATGGGTAGACCGGTACCCTGTCCAATTTGATGTTAAACAATCTTAAAGGCTTTGTAGATATAGGTTTATTATGTACAGTATGTCAGAGGCCTTGACGGCCCATATGTATTTATGTTTTTACGAACGATGGTTCATTGATATAATATTTTCCCACCTACAATTGTACATTACGAGTTGTAGCCATGTTGGCCCATGATAGTTATGAAAAGAATGAATAAGTTACAGAGTGGTTCGCTTGGGCCACTACGGCATCCGGTGCCAGCCACGCCTCCCGAAGATCATGGCTTGACAGGAAGTGGTCACACCTTTCACGGTGACAGTATCAACCATACCTCCTTTCGACTCAAAAGCAATACCCTGGGATTGTGTTGCCGAGGCTAGGCGAAAAAGGAAGGCGAAAATGGAGGAATCCGATGTTGCGAAAGGAATGAGCAGGACCGAGAGAATCTATACACCCAAACACTTAAGAGGAAAGTGGAAGAAAGGGAATATTCCGTCATTGATCATTTGAACAAAACCTCAGCTCAGATATCCATACTGTCACTGTTGCAGAATTCAGAGGCACATAAGAATGCTTTGATGAAGGTTTTGAGTGAAGCCTACGTGCCCAACAATATCACCTATGGAGAGATGACCAATATGGTAGGGCAGGTACTGGAAAGTCATAAGATAATCTTCCACGAAGATGGGCTGCCTCCTGAAGGGTTGAATCACAATCGAGAATTGCATATCACAGTGCAATTTGAAGACAAGTTCATTGCCAGAGTCTTGGTTGATGGAGGTTCAAGTCTCAATATTTGTCCGTTGGATACTCTGAAAAGACCGGGCAAAGGTTTCCAAGAAATACGGGCAGGGAGCATGAATATGAAAGCATTCAATGGGTCCCAAAGGGCCACGATTGGGGAAATTAATCTTTGTGTACAGATGGGGCCAACTTGGTTCGACGTTGAATTTCAAGTGCTCGACATAGCGGCCTCATACAATCTTCTGTTGGGCCGACCATGGATACATGCCGCTGGGGCTGTGGCTTCCACACTACATCAAGCCGTGAAATTCGAATGGAACCATCAGTAAGTGATCATTCACAGAGATGGGAGTAATCCTATTTGCACAAGTTAAACCATCCTGGTTATTTGAAACAGAAGAAGGTTAGGAGGAGAAATATATCATCACATCGAACATGTCAATGCCGTTGAAAAGGACAAATGGTAGAGTAGCAAAATAGAAAGCATATTGGTATGGTCCGGGTATGAACCAGGCAAAGGGCTTGGAAAGAATCTACAGGGTATTACTAAGCCGATACAGTTGAAGCGTCACGGTACTACCTTCGGGCTCAGATATCAGTATACATGGCCAGAGTATGATGATTGGTCGCCTCCATGGCGCAGACCTTATTATCCTCTCGAGCAGCCAGTGCCGCATCTAGATCAAACTTTTCACCAAGCTGACACAATATGTGGAACTGCAGAAGGAGAAGCGTTAATGGGGCTGAGGAATCTATTCTTGGAGGATGAAGACATGAACTGCATTGCAATAATTGAGGAGGAGGGGGAAGAAGGCCTCACTATTCAGACTGTGGAGAAGGGAGCTATTTTTTAGGATCTAGACCGCCACACCATCCCTGGCCCGTCGAGTCCCTGGGC